CATTATAGGGAAAAAAGGAAACTTAATAAAGATAAAGGGAAAAAAGGGTATGTTTGAGAGCAACTTTTAAAGAATTCTAGCTGTATTTATTCCCTATTCTCTTATGCCTCTTGCTGATGGCTATGGTGACAGGGAATTATTATTTTTTTTTTTTTAAATGACACAATTGGGTAGTATAGAAGACTGGGAGGAAATATTACCCAACGTGAGAAGCAACCTCTCTTGGGCTGTCCTTGAGGCTGTTAGAATATTTGACTTACTAGATGAATCTCCCTTGAGGCTTTCTTTTCTTTTCTCAAGCAATCATTTTCCAAGGGCAGTTATTGTGGCAAAATTATTTATTTTAGAAGGTTGAAGAACACAACCACACTTTAAATTTACAATACAAGAGTTTATAAAGCTGTAGAAAAAGGCTTAACTCAAGTAATTATAGTAGAAAACTTAATTCTACCTAAGTTTCCATTGATTGTCTATTTTTCTGTTGAATCACTGAAATAATTCACTTAGCTCTTTAACACTGGCTGAAATTATGACTCCCTTCTCACTCATATAGGATTTATTATTGAGATTTGATTTTTTTTTCTCCTTCCTCTATTTATAAATAAAAACATGTAGAGAATCAAATGTAGTATCATAATATCTGTTTTGGAGCTCTGGTGATGTAGTGCCTAAGGCATTTGACTGCTAACCAGAAGGCTAGCGGTTCAAACCCACCAGCCACTCCTTGGAAGGAGGACAAGGCAATCTACTTACATAGATACTGCCTCAGAAACCCAAGGAGGGGTCTCTATGAGTCAGGACTGACTCAACGGTAGTGAGAATACCTATTTAATATTTCTTTTTTTAGGAGGTAGGGCATGTGAGGGAAAACAAACTTTGGAGTCAGAAGACCTGAGATTGACCATAATTTTAGACAAGACACTTAGCTTTATTGAACTTCTGTTTAATAATCTAAAAAATAACAATAACAGCTCTCCTCCCTGAGATTATCTCATGTATGTGAAAGACATGTAAAATGTAAAAGAGTAGCACACACATTTTGAAAGTCACTATAAATACATACACTCAAAAATACAGCCCAATTAAATTAATTTTCTCTTTTGTGTTACAGGAGTTCAGATTTTGTAAAGAAATAACAAAGAAGATTTTAAGTCTAGTTTTATTTACAAAGAAATTTTCACATGTCTTATCCTTAAATATTGATTTATTTATGTTTTTAATGATGAAGAATTCAGGGGAAAAATCAGTTAAATGTATAAATTTATCAACATAGTATTTGCACAGAAAGAATTCATTTAATCAAAATATCACAACACGGAATTTCACAGTTAAACTTACATGCAAATTGTAGAATTATGTTATTGAATGTGTTTGATGGAATGTGTTAAATATAAAAATAATCCAATACAATTTCCATTTAGCACATTGTACAAAACTCAATTTTCAATGGAATTAAACATCTAAACTCTTTCCTATAAGGTGCTATGCATTCAAAAGTGCTTTGTAACACTGAGGTTGAAGTCAGGGAATTCATACTGGAGAACTCCACAGTAATATAGCTCAGCAATAAACGAACTTGGGCATAATGTAGATGAACTCTACTCATGAAAGGAAACACAGATAATAGACATCTATGACCGCATAGTGACAGATGTTCATCCATCAATGGGAGGTGGGGCAAAGGGACTGCATATACACATCATCATAGACATAACAAAAATGAGTTTAAGGGTGAATCCACCATTTTTAGCTAGTACCATTTCCTAGAGGAAAAAAGAAAAAAGATTCAGAGAGACAGAAAAAGAGAGAAAGGGGGAGGGGAGACAGAGAGAAAAGAAGAGAGGGAAAGAAAGAGAATGAGAGAGACTGTAATGGACAAAGGGAGAAAACTCACATAATGCTTCCACCATCAGTTTTCCAATTGAGACTAACCGTCAATACAATCAATAGTCCATGACAGCAGTTTTTAGATTTAAGAGTACATCAGAAGCACTTGGAGGGCTTATTAAAACAGCAATTGCTGGGCCCTAATTGAGCGTGGGGTTGAGGCTAGGAATTTGTGTTTCAGCAAGTTCCTGGTGATGTTGATGCTACAAGTGAAGAACCACATTTTGAGAACTACTGGTTTATTTTATCTTTGAGTGGCCCCTTTATTTATTAAAATGAAAAACACCATAAAGATAATATGCTGAGACCCTGAGGATAAAGCATGGTGGATAGCCAGCATGGATTATATGATGATTTAGGGCAACCAATCTCACTTTCGGCTACATAGGAGGACCAACTGAAGAGTTTATATACATAAACACACACACACACACACACACATTTATTTGTTGTTGTTGTTATGTGCTGTCAAGTTGGACTCAACTCATAGCGACCCCTCCTTGGGTTTCCAAGGTGGTATCACTACGGAAGTAGATTGCCCAACCTTCCTCATACACACACACACACACACAATAAACCAAACTCATTGCCATCGAATCAATTCAATTTGACTCATAGCGACCCCTCCTTAGGTTTCCAAGGTGGTATCACTACAGAAGTAGATTGCCCAATCTTGTTTCTAAGAAGTGGCTGGTGGGTTTGAACCGCCAGCCTTCTGGTTAGCAGCCAAATGCTTTAGGCACTACCACCAGAGCTCCCACATCTATCTATCTATATCTATATCTACTGATTCCCAGACTCATGTAAAACTAGTGAAATCTGAATCTCTGGGGTGGGGCCAGGCATTAAGTTATTTATGAAAGTATCCCCTGAAATTCTAATGTGTAGTCTAGCTAGAGAATTACTGCCTTAGGAAATTCTCTTTTACTTCCTCACATGCAGAAAACGTGGCCAAACATAGCACCCTTTTCTAGGTACTAGTATGTGAACAAGAATGTCTTCGAGGAAATCAAAATCCCTAGGAGGCACACTGATGCACAATAAGGAAACAATATCAGGGGTAATTTAGAAAGTAATTGTGACTGCTGATTGACAATGCACTGCAGGGTTAGTTCACAGGTTTGAAATAACAGAACTCTGAAAGGTGAGAGGCACTCTAATTTAAGTTTCCTTTCCTTTGAATGAAATCACCCAGAGTCTAGAGTCTAAGATGTTGACATATATACACTGATGCAGTACAGTTATCTGCTATAATTATTATATTTACCCTCAGTTAGTTAAATTATTTACTACTTTAATTTAAATTTGCGTGTCCCTATAAATAAGACCCCCAAGGATGAAATGCTGCAAGCTACCCTTTTCATAGTCTCCTTGGACAAATAAAACTAGAAACACACACAGAATACAAAGGACATTCTCAAATAATGCTTCTACTTTAAATTACTCTTCTGGCAAAAACAGAAAGCATGACTATTTTTAAATGTAAGCAAAGATACATGTCATGGAATCCTGTTCTGGAAGGACTTACAGATCTGCAACAATTTTTAGTATTGATTGTACATGGAACAACATGTACATATTTTCATAATTATTAAAGCCCTAGCCCACAGATTTTAAAGAAAATTCCCAGGTATGAAACAAGAACTAATATTTAGTTGTAAATTAAAAAGGAATTTAACCCCAGATGTTAGGACCTGGCCTGCAGGTGGATCTTTGGTAAAACTCAAACATGTTAAAACCGTCATTTTCATTTGAATACAGACAAATCAGCTGTGTAGAATGTATAATGGCCTCACAGTTCTCCATTAGGGACTACTGTTCCCAAGGAATGTCCTATAGGGGTACTCCAGGTGCATTTTGTGCTGTTGATGGACACTGACAGATTGGGGAATAAAGCACAGTGATTAAGGGGGAAAAAAGAAAGTTAAAATCTAAAGTCCTGGTGAGATGCTTGGGTGAATCTTTCTCCACTCTTCATGTCTTCCAGAATATGTCTTTGAAATATCCTGAATAACAACAAAAAAACAAACAAACAAAAAAAGAATAGGAGTAGCATAAATATACTAACTCAAGATGGTAGAAACTGGGCACTAAAAATATGAAGCTTCAAGGAAATACCAGGATATGGCAAAACTATTTTGGTCTTTAGTTCCACTCTTCCATATTACAATATATAGTTCAATATGCAAATGTTTGTTTCCAAAATTGCAAAAATCAAAGCAAAAACACATTTAGAGGCAAATAATCACAGCCAACCTTCATTCTAAGAACTCTAGTGGCATGGTGGTTAAGGCATTCAGTGGCTAACCAAAAAGTCAGTGGTTCAAACCCACTAGCCCCTCTGCAGGAGAAAGATGAGACAGTCTGCTTCCATAAAGATTTACAGACTTACAACTATGGGGCAGTTCTACTCTGCCTTATATGGTCATTAGGAGTCAGATGGCAGTGGGTGGGAACCTTCATTCCATGCTTTAAAACACTACATGGGAAATGAATCTTGGAATAGGGTTTGATTCTTTACTTCTGTGGTATGTGAAGGAGAGAAGCTGCCTCTTCTCCCTTATGTCACTTTGTCATTCTCCTCTGTATTTCATCTTTGGGGCCCTGTAAGGGAGCTACGGGAGCTCTGGTAGCATAGTGCCTAGGCACTTGACTGCTAACCTGAAGGCTGGCGGTTCAAACCCACCAGCCACTCCTCGGAAGGAAGATGGGGCAATCTACTTCCGTGGTGATACTGCCTCGGCAACCCAAGGAGGGGTCGCTATGAGTTGGGTCCAAATTGATGGCACATAACAATAACAAAACATGGGATCCCGGTGGTAGAGGGATCAATTTAAATGGTTACATTAGGCTACTAACAGAAAGGTCGGCTGTGTGAATCCACTCAGAGGCCTCTCAGAGGAAAGGCCTGGAGATTTACTTCTAACAGCCTTTAAAACCCTATTGACACACAATTCTACCTACTCTGACACACATGGGGTCGTCATAAATCAGAATAGGCCCAGAACAGCTGTTTTTGTTTTGTTTTGTTTTAAGGGAGATGAGGATCTCACTACTTTAGAGAACTCCTGTAAATAGATCAGACTTAAACTCACCGTCTGCCACAAAGACTCTTAGGCCTCCACATGGTTCCCAGAAACATCTGCATTCTCACTTTCTCTTTGCACCATATGCTTTGGCTTCTCTTGGGTTTCAGTGAAATCGGGCTTTATAGGAAGTGTTTCCACAGCCTGTGGACTCTCTCTCTTCAGCTCTACCTCTGTCTCCCATGGTAATCTTTGCCTGAATGCCTCAGCTGCTCCTGGCTCCTGCTCCTTATCACTGCTTCCCATCCCCTCCTCCTCCTCTCCCAGTAATCCTACTTGTGGAGTGGTTTCTTCTTCCCCTCCCTCTTGATCATACCCTAGCTGTGGACAACCCCCTTCCAGATTGGAAGGTTTTTGAACAGCACCCAGCCCAACCTCTGCTATTGATGTCACTGTCACCTCCTCCACCGCCTGCACCTTTTCCTGGCTCAGTGCTATTCCCTCTACCACCACTCTCTCTGCAGCAGCTGTTTTTCCTACTAATTCATCCACTTTGTGCCAAGTTTCCTCCCCAGCAATATCTGCAAAGGAAGAGTCTATATTTGCTATTTTCTCCTCAGATCTCTTGGCATCTGCCAACTCTTCCCTCTTCTCCATGGTCATTTCTGTCGTTTCTCCTTGGTTCAGATCTTCTTCAGCAATAGCTTCTTCTGTCAAGCTCCTTTCTCCCTCTGAGCTCCTGTTCTTCATGATTCCTCTTCCCAGACTGCACTTTTCCTCCCCCTCTTCCATGTCCTCACCCATTGCTTCTTCATTGAACTTTTCTGCTATCATGGAGTCTTCTTCAGGAACATCTCCTTGTGTCATTGTCAAGTCCCCTATTCCTTTTCGTCCCTGTAGAGGCCCTTCTGTATCCCTTCCCTCCGGGCCTGCAAGGCGATCTTGATCTTCAGCTGCACACTCCTCATCCTCACCTGTGGTTACTATCACCTCAGGCCCCTGTGCCTTTCCTGCCAGCTCACTTTCAGGTGTTCCTAATACACTCTCTCCATCATACTGTGGCCCCTCATCCTTCTCTGAAGGAGCCACATTCTCCTCGGGGAGCAGCTGTACTCTGAATTTGTGTTCTGTGTCTCTGGTTTCTGTCAGTCTTTCCTCTCCTCCTTTCCTCAGAGCTGTTATGTTTTCCAGTGACTTTTCAGGTCCAAGTACTGCTTCACACATGACAACTCCTCTGGCTTTTAGTGAATCTTTCCTTTGCAGCCCTGCATCTTCAGCGACTTCAGATTCCTCCATGGGTACTTTGTCAGCAGACTCAGAGTCCATTTCCTTTGTGGGGGCTTTTGTCTTTCCATCAGGTCTGTTTTCTTTCACTGTTTCCTTCTCTTCCTTTTTGCCTTCTTCTGAAGCATATTCATGCTTAAGTGCATTTGCCCTTTTCACCTCTTCTTTTTCAGATTCAGTATCCCTCAGATGTGTTTTTAGCCTCTCAGCTTTCTTTCTTTCTCCTGCTGCATCTAATTCCTCAGATAACATTTCTTTCCTGTCATCTTCCCTATTAGATTCTGCCTCAGTCACAACCTTCTCCCTTTCCATATCTTTCTTACATTCTTTCCTTTCTTCTTTAAAGCTGTCCTCCCAGTTCATCTGGTTTACCCCTTCCTTCTCAGAGACTGAGGAGCTCAAAGGTGTTTCTATTCCCATAACTTCCTCCCACTCTTTGGCTGGTTCTTCTCCCCCAAGTAGTGCCTTTTCTGAAGCATCCTTTCTCTTGGATGCTGCTTCTTCCACAGGACTAGTGTTCTCTAGGTCTGTGGATGCTTCCTCTTTGTTTTCTTCCTCATCTGGCTTCTCAGACCCTGCCTCACTCACAGCAGCCCCTGTCGTATCTCCTTTCTCTGGTGGCATTGCTGCCTCTCTCAGAGCTGCTGCCTTGCTTCTGAGTGCTGAGTCCTCTGAACCCTGTTCTCCTTCAGAAACTGCCTTCTCTATTTCAAGCACTGTTTGCACTAAGCCTTGCTCTTCAGGAGCCTCACCTTCATTCAGATTTGCAGAGTCTCCTACTCCTTCTTTTTCTGTGGAGTTTAATCCTTCTCTACCCACATTTCTATCCCCTTCTGCTGCTACCCGTGTTCCACTCTCAATGTCCTGAGGGACCTCTCTTTCCATAGTAAACTGTTCTGCTAATGCAGGCTGTACTCCTGTTACCTTCCACTCCCCAAGGGGAACTTCATTAACCCCTATTTTTCCCCACAATGTTGCCTCTCCTTTTTGCTCTGTCCTGTCAGCATCCCTGGGTTGGGGAACTTCATTTTCCTCGATTGCTGCTTTCTTCTCCAGCGTATACATTTCCGGTGCAACTTGCTTAGGTTCCTTGTTCAAGTTGAGTAGTGTTCTTTCCTCAACCACTAAATTCTCATTTGGTGCTACAAATATAAGGTTAGAAAACAAAGTTACTTTAATCAAAGCGGACAAGGAGATTATATATAATCATATATAAAGATTTATATATGATTTCATATAATATATATACTAAAAAGCAGCTCTGGTGGTGTAGTGCCTAACTGCTAACCAGAAGGTTGGTGGTTTAAACCCACCAGCCACTCCATGGAAGCAAGACTGGGCAATCTACTTCTGTAAGAATTTACCAAATAGAACCAAAGAGGATTGCTATAAGTCAGAATCAACTCAATGGCAATGAGGTTATTTTTTGTTTTTGTGTGTGTGGTTTTTTATTTTTTTTGGTTGTTGTTGTTGTTGTTATGTGCCGTCGAGTCATA